TTGTGTATGTTTTAAGAGAATAAATGTGTCAGAGAAGGGCTGGCAGAAGTTCAAAGAAACTAACCCCAGTGGGTCATTCCAGGAGAAAGAGGGATATATGTGCACCAATGTTCCCTGGCCTCTGTAGAATCAAGAGGGTCCTACTGCTGTCTTGCCTTGTGTTTCTGGCCCAGACACAGCCCAGACTCTGATCCAGGTGGGGTTGGGGTTTTCATATTTCAGTGACCCACATGTGCACACAGTGGGAGACCTGTGTGACCCTCCCCCACATATGTGAAAACAGTCTTTGCTCCATAAATGATATCCTTTGATGACTTTTACTGGGTCCTCTTGTGATAGTTTTGGTGGGGTTGGGGGACAGGAAAGGAGGCAAGGATGAGGCCAGGTGAGGGTGCTCCCTAGCAAGCCTGTGCAGTGGCCACGTGTTGTAATGGAACGTGCCCCGGATGGAATTCAGAAATTCCTGTCTAATGTCTGCTCCTACCAGGCTGTGTGGTCTTGAGCAAATATCTTCCCTCCTCCATGGGCCTCAGTCCCAATATAGAGGGGCCAAGCTCTGTGCCTGTGAAGGCCCTCGCCAGCCCTCCATTCCATGGTTCTATGACATAATCTCCTGACAATCTAGGAGGAATCCCATATTGTCACTGGAAAAATGGTTCAGGGGATCTCTGGCAAAAGTCTCAGAGCTGAGCCTGGAGCAGAGACACACACAGACATGGGATCTAAAGGAGGGAATATCTGTAGTGTCTTCTCAGACACAGAAGTGAGATTTCTCACTGGATACCAATATGGCTGTGCCCTCCATCTCCCAGGTGTCTGGCTTCTCACTTTCTCCTACTTCTCTTCCACAAAAAAGGAGGGACCCAGATTTTGACCTTGAGTGTCTACAGTTTCTGATCAAGGACAGCTCCCAGGATGTGAGGAGACCTGGGCCCTGCCTTCAGGGAGCAACACGTCAAATTGGGTACTTCCCCCTCTGGGTCTCCTGGTCAGAGTTGGGGTACCACTGACTGGAAATCTTGGTTTGGTTCATGCACTCAGGGGCACAACTTCAAACATGTAACTCATGTCAGGATTCATTGATGCTGGTGCTATTAGGGACCTTAAGATAATCTAGTATATGGTTTCTGTCTGTCCAGATGGTAAGTCCTGAAATGAGCTAACCAGAGGATTGCAGAGAGCTTTTAAAGACCAGAAGGTCTTCCTAAGAAGAACAACCCATTAGGCCAGATGACTCAGATATTGGTTTGTGTTGAGGCAGGGGCCAGACCCCATGACATGTTTTAGTCCCCTCCACCTCAGAGATGACATGATTCTGAATCTGTGATTCTGTATTCTGTGAATCCATGATTCTCTCTACCTATTATCCTGTGAGTCTACCAGACTATTATTGCATGAATCCATAGGTCTCTGTTTCTATGAGCTGTGTCCAAAGAGATAAGTGGGGTCTTTTGGGGATAACCCTGTGACTCACCCTGGCACTTGTACCAGTCATCTGACTTCTCCACACCTCACCTTCCCAGCCTATAAAATGGGTGGGACACAGCCCACCCACCTGTTTTGGTGGCACATGGAAACAGTATCTCTCACCAGAGATATTAGTGCTGCCTGAAGATGTTAAACCCATTAGTGATAGCATGGCCCCACAAAGTATGAAGTGAGCCAATCAGAGCTCATGGATGGCACAAGGTGCACAGATTGGCTAATAGTAGGATGGCCATTGGCCACATGGAGGAAGGAGGTTGGTTTAGGCTGTACTGTCTGTGGAAAGCACCCCCATTCATTCAAACGTTCATTTATTGGTCTAGTTAGTGTTCCCCAGGTCCTGTGCTAGAGCCAGATGATATATAGTGAATGTGTCCACAGTTACCAATGCACAGAGATTATGGTTTAGTGGGAATAACTCCATGGACACTGAGGATATAAATACACTTCCTCTGTAGAATAAGCTCCTACAATCATAGAATATCATAGCCAGGAGGGGCTTCATTGACTATTTTATGGTGGAAAAGAAAGAGCCTAGAGATAGAAGGGCACAGTGGGGCCACACTATGAGGCAATGGCAGAATCAGAACTAGGCTGAGTTCTATTTGTGCCTTGAACTATCTCTATCTTGTTTTGTTGACATGCCTTAAGATGGTTGGCCTTCTACGACATTTTCTTCCCTATAGCGTGAGGTTGTCCCATCCTACATCTGAGATATAGGGACTTCTTAATGACTGTGTCTGTTGGTTGGCTAAAAGCTATGGTTCCTAAAGCATCATGTATTTCAACACTAAAAAAAGCATGTTGTGGCAGAAAAAAAATTGAAGAATAAACCTGGGTTCAAATTCTGGATCTACTACTTTTATCTATGTGAGCTTGGGCAAGTTTGTTTTTTTTATTTATTTAAGACACTATTATGGAGGCTAAATGTGATGAGCTAAACCTATGATATATATGGCCCCAATAAAAGATAATTCTCGTCCCATTCCCATCATAAAACATCAGGCCTGGGTGCCAGCTGAGGTGGGACACAAGAGAACAAGTAATGGAACAGCCTAAAACCACTTCCACCATCCCCTTTAGGACAGGACTGGTGGGTTTCACAGATGAAGCTATGGAGTGCTACAAGCCCACCCAATACAGGAATGATGGGGCAAAGCAGGAAACTTTCTAAGTCTGGGACAGAATCTCCCCTTTGCTTCCTCCAAATTGTTCAGGGGCAGACCCTGCAAGACCTGGCTTGGGCTAGGGAAGTGTCTGTGGACTAGTGGGGGTTTGTCTTCTTTATTGAGGAAATTTGGGAGCTGTTTATGGTCCTGGAGAAATTGGGATCCATTATGGACAAATGCAGAAGCATCTTTTCCTTAGAGGCTATGGGGCCACCCTGGGGCCTGTACGAGCTGATCTGAGGGAGTGGTAGTTTGCAACCAGGTCTTGGCTCAGGATCAAGATACCTTTCTGCGTTGGGCAACCTGACATGGATCAGTGAGAAGAGTGTGGGCTTTGAAACTAGACAGGCTTGGGTTCAAGTGATACTCCATTGCCTACCAATGGGACTACCTTGGTGAAATAGTTGGGCTTCTGGGTCTTAGTTTCCTTGTCAAAATAGGGCTAGCATAGCCTACCTCACAGGATGTGCTTAATACATATTATTCCCATTTCTCTTGCTGTATTTACTGCATTGAAGAAAGGGAAGGAGGCAGATATTCAAGGACAGTGCTATGTCCAGAAATAGAAGGCAACATGTTGTAGCAATAAAGACCATGGCTTATGAAAGTAGACTGCCTGCATGTGAATTCGAGCTTCTTACTTAATTGCTTTGTGAGAATGGGTAACTTCCTTAATCTTTAAGGGCCTCAGTTCCAGGGGCATCTGTAAATGTACATCCCTTATGAACTGTTTGGCACAGATGTAGCATTCAGTTAAATGTCAGATTCTACTATTATTGTTATCACACAGTGTTCATTTGGCTGGAATTCCCACTATGCTGGGTTCTTGGGGATCTAGGCCTGGTAGTAAGGTCCAGAAAGGTGAGGATGGGGAAGTTATGTGGCATGCAAAGCTGAAGATGTGGGTCATAGGGCATGAGAGGCTGAGGAGAGACAGCCTAGATAAAGAGCCCCCACCCAGTTTCCCAAATTAACAGAATAACCTGCCACTCCATGGAACTAACCTGGAGTTCTTGGGGGGCCTTGCTGCTATACGGAGGCAGAGACCACTGGGCCCAGCAACCCAGACTAGCAGGAGCCACCATGGAGCCCCTCAGAAAGAATACACTATTTAGGCTGAGAAGATACACCATCTAGCTTTTGGCCCAGTGTATGAAAAATAGAGATGCCAACTATATTTTGAACAAGTCCTTGAAGACTCAAGTGACCTAGAAACAGCTTCATAGGTACAGATCTCATAGGCATCTCATCTCTCATAACTTCTAGAAAAAGAAGACTGACTTGTTTCATGAAGAAGGCCAAAGGAATCATTTATCTCGTGTTCGGGAAAATTCAATGTCAAGCAGAGACATGCCCGGCCCCTGAGTGAAGAGCCAGGCATTCTGGGGAGGAATGCAGTGCCAGCTCCGGTCCTCGTGACCTCTCCTGTTTCATTCAGATGCCATTAAATTGCCTCATCGCCACACTATAAAAGGCCTCCCCAGTGGCCAGCTCCTCAGATCCTTGGCTTCTCCCCATCTTGCTCCTGTCAGCGAAGAGGGTAAGTCTATGCCTGGGTTAGGGACACAACAAGGAGGGGTGACACTGGGATGGGATGAGGACAGTCAGGACTAGGCATGAGGGTGGCTGCTGAAGGAGCTGGGGCAGAGCTGATGGGAAGCGCGGAGGCTGGGGCCTGAGGGGGAGAGGCAGAGGTAAGGAACTGGAGCAGAGCTGTTGGTCCTGTGTGAGAAGGGGTCTTCAGAGAACCGCCACCCTCTCTCTCCTCGAGTGCAGTTGTGCAGTCCTCTCATGGGTCCATTTATGGGGTGAAATGATAGTCCAGCTTGCCTGAAGAGCAAATGGTGGAAACTCAAACTCCAGCCTTGTCAGGCTCTGTGGGGCTCAGCTTGAGACTCAGAGTGGCTCCTGGTCTACCGACAAGAACTTTCTTTCCCTGGGTCCTGCCTGGCCTGGCAGGAGGGACTAGGGAAGCCAGTCTTGAGAGAATTTGGCGACGAGGGGAAATCAGCTGGGAAGAAATTTCCCAAGGAGAATCTGCAATACAGGCACCAAAGTGAGTAATAAGAAAGGAGGCTTGGAGAATTGGGTGGAAACAGACATCACTCATTCCAGCGCTTCATTTTCCGCTGTGGAAACTGAGGCACACAGCCAGGCATAGCACAAGATCCAAGCAAGATCCCTGGCTCTGAGTCCAGCCTATGTCAGGTCTGAGTGCCTGTGACCTTCTCAGAAAAGTTCCTGCTTACAGACAATTCTATTCATACGAGATGCTGGGGGTTTCCCTGGAAACCTTCTTAGCTCTGATGAGACCTTTCTTTTCAGATTTTGCAAAGCCACAGGAAGATGTGTGACCAGCAGAAGCAGCCACAGTTCCCCTCATCTTGTGTGAAAGGTTCAGGATTGGGAGCTGTACAGAGTACCAAATGTACCTCTGTGAAATGCCCAGCTCCATCCCAGACTCAAGCCTGTGTGAAATGCCAAGTGCCATGCCAGACTCAAACCTATGTGAAATATGCAACTCCTGGCCAGATGTATGTGAAATGCCCAGCTCCATCCCAGACAACCTATGTGAAATGCCCAGCTCCTTGTCAGACATACATGAAGTGCCCAGCTCCATGCCAGACAACCTATGTGAAGTGCCCAGCCCCCTGCCAGACCCAGGCATGCTATGGCCAGGGCCCTTCTTCCGGCCAGACCTACTACGTTCAGGCTCCTGCGAGTAGCTTGACCAACTTATGCTGTGCACCTGATCCATGCTCTGCACCCTGTTCCACCAGCTACTGCTGCCTGGCTCCCCGGACCTTCGGGGTGAGTCCCCTGAGACGCTGGGTCCAGCGACCCCAGGACTGCAGCTCAGGATCATCTGGCTGCTGTGAAGGTTCTGGGTGCTGCAGCTGTGGGGGCTGTGGTTCTGGGTGCTGCTGTTTGGGGATTATCCCCATGAGGTCCCGAGGTCCTGCGTGCTGTGATCGTGAGGATGACTGCTGCTGTTAAATACAGAACAGCCCTGCTCTGGAACATTCAGCAGCCTCCGGCCCCCTCTCTGTATTCCCAGTTATGTAGAATCTTATTGCTTCACCATGTACTTTGCTTCTCTATGAAGGCAGCCTGCCAGAGTTAGCATGTGCCCCAAACTTTGGCAAGAATAAAGCTCTGAAAGCAATTCATAGAGATGTCCTGTCTATTTGGTCCATATTTATGCTTTTCTATCAGAAACTCTTCCTCTCTTCTTCTTGCTTCTCAACAAGAGGAAGGTCTACATGGACCAAGCTGGTACGATCCCAGCCTGGGATCCCCGAGCATTCTAGAATGCCACTAATAAACTTCCCCATGCAAGTTAGCTGGAGATTTTAGGGTCAGGAGATGCCTTTTTCCTGCCCTCTGATGAGTGTGAGGAGAGGGTTTGGCTATGCTGAGGCCTTCATGGTAGCATGACTGTTATATGTGAAGTCAGAGTTCAGCTTCCTGGTTGTTGAAGGGTCTGTGAAATCAGATCTGTTCAGGTGCCTCATGATGATGCCCCTGCTTCTGTGCGAGGGGCTCTATGGATTCCATTTTCTCATCTGATGAGTTTGCCCCCCTGAAACCCCAGAGTAAAGACCTGAGGGAAAGGGTGAGGACTCACCTGAGGCAGGTGGAAATTCCCCTTGTTAGCCTGGGAGACAGCCCTACTAGTGAGGGAGAGGTTGCCAAGAGGAAGGTGAGCCTCTTGGCACAAGCATCTGGGTCTGGGCCAGACTCCCTTTCTCATTAGCACTTCCTCTTCCATTACTTTGCTAACCCCGGGGGTTTGGGGTGGATTTTTATAGCTAGAGACTGTAAACCCACACAGTAAAAAAGAAATAGGTAAGGGGTAAGTGCTGTTCAAAGCAGCCCCCCAAGCCCTGGTGTATGAACAGAGGAGGCAGCATATTTGGTGAATATGTAAATGAACATTCCAACAAGAACTGGGGACCTTGAGTTTGTTTCTAAGCAACCTCTTTCAGGTTACCCTGGGACACTTGTGGGAGTGTCATCTGGACTACTGTGCTGCCTTTGAACATCTAAGTCACCCATGATCCCCCAAATCACACTCTGTCCCTGCAGCCAAACCCATTGCAGCCAGATCACTGGGCACCATGATCTCCTGTACCACCCAGTGGCTCCGGCAATGTTGGAAGTCTATGTGCTGCTCCTTCAGCAATGAACCAGGGCATGTAATGCTTTTATATTTATTAATTAAAAATTACATAAGTAGCACGAGCTTTGAGTTATTTTATTTATTTTTTTTATTCTTATGTTAATCCCCATACATTACATCATTAGTTCTAGATGAAGTGTTCCATGATTCATTGTTTGTGCATAACACCCAGTG